TCAGTGGTTAAGTGCCCCTGGGTTCAATCCCTGGTATTAAAAAAAAAGAGAGAAAGAGAAAGAAATTCACAGGCTTGTCAGGCATGGGGGCACTCACCTATAATTCCAGTTAGAGAGGAAGCTGAAGCAAGCCAAAAGTTAGAGAAGAATCTGGGCAATTTAGTGAGACCCTTGATTCAAGGTGACACAGGCCTGTAATCCCAAAGACTCTGGAGCCCGAGGCAGGAAGATTGAAAGTTCAAGGCCAGTTTCAGCAATTTAGCAAGGCCTTAAGCAACTTAACAAGACCTGTCTTAAAATAAAAAAGAACTGGATATGCAGCTCAGTGATTAAGTGCCACTGAGTTCAATCCCCAATAACAAAAGAAAAACATACACACACACAAAAAAAAAAACTCTTAGTTCAATAGCAGAGTACTACCTAGCATGTGCAAGGCCCTGGGTTAAACCCCAAGTACTGAAAAAAAAAAAAAAAAAGAAAAGAAATTGAGCAGGCTGGTTATAAAGGCTAACATACAAGAAAATAAAAATTGCATAGGACATTATATAAGAGTTAAAGAGTATGATTCAGACAATAAAGACTATTCATTCAGTGAATGTCATCTACTCTTCATCAGGCAGTTCCTGTTCTCAAGAAGCTCACAATCTTGTATTAGATATGGTAGAGAGCTGAAAACACAGCCACAGTTAAGGATTTGTACTGGGGCTTTGGGAACTTATTAGGAGGTGAGAAAAAGCTTATTCAAAAGAAGTAAAATGTGAAGGTGGGAAGAAATTAGTGTTCATAGCCCATCAAATGATATGCAGAAGTCTGGAAATGTAAACTATCAATTTGGCTAGTTGGGTATTCCGGGTCACAGTTAAAATGAGACCGAAGATCGAAAACATGAAGCCAAAGAGGTAAATGCTCACTGGCCATATTATAGAAGTTCTCAAACATACTAAGGATGTGGCTCAGTGGTAGAGCCTTGCCTGGCATATGTAAGACCCTGTCTATATTTTATATCCAATACTAAAAAAAAAAAAAAAAATCCTCAATGTGTTATTTAGTGTAGACTTTTTCTTGATGGGAATGAGGAACCATTAGTTTTATGCAAGAGAATGAGAGTTGCTGGGCATAGTGGTGCATGCCTGTGATCCCAGTGATTCACAAGGCAGAGGCAAGACGATTGCAAGTTCGAAGCCAGTCATGCCTGTCATGCGTGCGGCCCGGGTTTGATCCTCAGCACCACATACAAAGATGTTGTGTCTGCCGAAAACAAAAAAATAAATATTAAAAATTCT